CCTCGCGGCGCGCACTTGTCGCTCGTCCGCCGGAAGTGATGTCGCCGCTTCTTCGGGGCGTTGGGGGGGTGGGAGTCGGGGTGGGGGAGTGGGGGTTGAGGATATATATTTTTTTGTTTATCTGTTTATTTACCTATTTATGATAATTGTTGCTATGATGATGATGATGATGATGATGATGAATATTATTGATATACATTGATATTGATATTTGGTATCAATATCAATGTAAATATTATTACTGCTACTACCATAATTATCTTATTTATCATTGTTGTGATCATTATAATTATTATTATCATTATTATGTTTTTCTTACATTTGGGTTTTTGATACCAAATAACAGAAAACGGCAAGGGAAAGAGAAGGGGAACTGAAATATAAAAGAAGGTCTCTTTAGTTTAAAAGACAACAGTGATTTAGTTTGAAGCTTAGTGTGATGAATGTTTATAATGAAGGGGAGATGAGAAGAAACGTCATACTCTCTCTCGTGACTCCTTGACCCTTTCAATCCGCTAGATTTAGATTATAAAAAAAAAAAAAATGTGTCAGCCTATAGCCCCCCCCCCCCTGTCACCTTACTCCCGTTCCTCGAGCTCAGAGAGACTTGACTGACTGCCGAGCTCTCCCGGAGAAACGAATTGCCTTTGATAACGTTACCCGCTCTCTCGCACCGCCCGGCGAGGAGGCTGGGGCGTCAGCACAGATGCTGACACTTAGCTCAAAGGCCCAAGAGCTCCGCTGACGCCTCGCAATCGGAGAAATTGATAGCTGACGAGGCTGGCGCGGCTGTTGCTGATAAGGGGCTCATTGTCTAGGGCTGGGTGTCAGCTGTGATGGAGGGAGGGGGGGGGGTAGAGATTTATTGTTGCACTGTATGCTAATGGGAAGCGTGCATTTAGGGAGGGGAGGGAGGGGGAGGGGGTACATGTGGTGAGAGGGACTTCCTTTTCTTCCTTTTCTTTTCTTTTCTTACTTCTCTTCTAATCTTTCTTTATCCTGTTGTCTCTACTCTCTGTCGTTCTCCCACGTCCCTCTTTTCTCTCCCTTCTACCTCTCTCTTTCTCTCTTGCTTTCCTCTCCGATCTGCCGTATCTCCTCGCTCATCTCTTATCGCTCTTCTCTTTTCTCTCTCTCCATTTTCCATGTCCCTTCCTTCTTGCTCCCTTTCCTCTCTCTCCCTCTTTCTTTCCTACCATCCACTCTCTCTCCTCCTCTCACATCTCCTCCCTCCCCTTCCCCCGCCTCTACCTCCTCTACCTCCTCCTCCACCACCTCCTCCTCCTCCTCCTCCTCCTCCTCCTCCTCCTCCTCCTCCTCCTCCTCCTCCTCCTCCTCCTCCTCCTCCTCCTCCTCCTCCTCCTCCTCCTCCTCCTCCTCCTCCTCCTCCTCCTCCTCCTCCTCCTCCTCCTCCTCCTCCTCTTTTTCCTCCTCTTTTTCCTCCTCTTTTTCCTCCTCTTTTTCTTCCTCTTCTTCTCCCTCTTCTTCCTCTTCTTCTTCCTCCTCTTCCACCACCACCTCCACCTCGTATTAGGCCAGCTGGGTTTGCAAGCCGTCCCAACATCGTGCGTGGAGCGGTGGCGATGACGCAATCCCCGCCATGTGGATGCGCTTGGTCGTGACGGCGGTGTTTGAGGATTAGGATCGGGTGAATGTGCATTGATTCATTTTCACTCCGAGGCTCGCCACCTTCGCGGTCACCCAAGGTCTGCGGAGCGGCGATTCACTGCGATGCAACACGCGGGTCTGGCCTGGCTTTCCTCCACCCGCGGCCCGGTTGTGATCCACTGCATGTAGTACACTCTTCAGTCCTTCTCTCTGTCTGTCTGTCTGTTTCTCCCTCCCTCTCTCCCTCCCTCCCTCCCTTCCTTCCTTCCTTCCTTCCTTCCTCCCTCCCTCCCTCCCTTCCTCCCTCCCTCCCTCCCTCCCTCCCTCCCTCCCTCCCTCCCAATCTCCCTCCTCTCTCTCCCTCTTTCCCTTTTTCCCTCTCTCCTTCCCTCTCTCCCTCCCTCTTTCCCTCCCTCTCTCTCCCTCTCCCCCTCTCTCTTACTCCCCCTCTTCCTCCCTCCCTTCTCATTCATTCATTCATTCATTCCCTCCCCTCCTCCCCCTCCCCTCCTTCCCTCCCTCCCTCCATCCCTCCCTCCCTCCCTCCCTCCCTCCCTCCCTCCCTCCCTCCCTCCCTCCCTCCCTCCCTCCCTCCCTCTCTCTCTCTCTCTCTCTCTCTCTCTCTCTCTCTCTCTCTCTCTCTCTCTCTCTCCATCTCCATCTCCATCTCCATCTCCATCTCATCCTTATCCTCTCTCTCCTTCTTCTCCTCCTTCTCCTTCTTCTCCTTCTTCTCGGTCCAATATTTCTAGTCACATTTTTTTTGAGTTTCCCCTTTTTTTGCTATTTCTTCCCCCCCATCCCCCCTACTTGCATTGCCTCGACAGCGCCAGGGTCCGGAGGTGCTCCCCACGCCGCCTTGGAGGGCCTGGTGCGTGCGGCCCTTTCTCCTCGTTATCGCGATGGGAAGGAAAGGGGGACCCGTTTAAGAGGAGGCCCCCGTTTAAGAGGAGGCCCCCGTTTAAGAGGAGGCCCCCGTTTAAGAGGAGGCCCCCGTTTAAGAGGAGGCCCCCGTTTAAGAGGAGGTCCCCGTTTAAGAGGAGGTCCCCGTTTAAGAGGAGGCCCCCGTTTAAGAGGAGGTCCCCGTTTAAGAGGAGGCCCCGTTTAAGAGGAGGCCCCGTTTAAGAGGAGGCCCCCAGAGTCGTATGTTCTCGGTAATGGCACCCTTGGCATCCTTTACCCCGGGTGCCTGTTTTCGTTTCGTTGGCTTTGGTTTCGTGGGGGTGCGGGGGGGGGGGTGCGTGTGGGCAGAGTACGCTGGTTAGTGTTGATTGGGAGGGGGTGGGGTTATAGCGTGAGTTTGTGTTTTTTTTTTTTTTTCGAAAGGGTAGCTTCTGTCTGTCCCCTTCCGTCTGTCCACTTCCGTTCTTCGGGTCCTACCCATATACCCTCTCCTCTCCTCTCCTCTCCTCTCTCCTCCTCTCTCCTCTCCTCTCCTCTCTCCTCCTCTCTCCTCTCCTCTCCTCTCTCCTCCTCTCTCCTCTCCTCTCCTCTCCTCTCTCCTCCTCTCTCCTCTCCTCTCCTCTCTCCTCCTCTCTCCTCTCCTCTCCTCTCTCCTCCTCTCTCCTCTCCTCTCCTCTCTCCTCCTCTCTCCTCTCCTCTCCTCTCTCCTCCTCTCTCCTCTCCTCTCCTCTCTCCTCTCCCTCCTCCCTCCTCCTCTCCTCTCCTCTCCCCTCCCCTCCCCTCCCCTCCCCTCCTCCCCCTCCCCTCCCCTCCCTCCCTCCTCTCCTCTCCTCTCCCCTCCCCTCCCCTCCCCTCCCCTCCCCTCCCCTCCCCTCCCCTCCCCTCCCCTCCCACTTCGCTCCACCTCCCCCCACTTCACTTCACTTCCACCGTACCCTCCACTTTGCTTCCACCCTTTTTCCCCCCTACGCTCCACACATCCCCCCCACGCACCCCCCCTCCCCACGCACCCCCCCCCCCCCCCTTCCCCACGTACACCCCCCCACGGCGTGTCTGGGCGAGAAAGTATGGATCGTCGGCTGTGAAACGTAGCGGACGGAAGGAGGTCCCCGTTTAAGAGGAGGCCCC